AGCACTGTCTGACGCGTCTGCCTCCGCGACCCGAAAGGAGAAGCGGCGATGGAAGATGAAGATGAAGTAATCATGAAGATGGTAGTACCTGCGTAAACTTGAGGCTTGCTCTGATTATTCATCTGTGCATTGACACTGCAGGTACAACGGCGGTGAAACTACCGGAGCCATTACCCCGACTCGCCCGCAAACTTATAATTCACTGTATGTAGTATACAAGGTACTGATACTATATATGCTGTGCTATACATAGTAATGTTTATCTTCCATGACCGCTTTTACTTTGCTTCCAAACGCGTCAAACTGCGTCCAACCGTTTCTGATCCTCTGCCAGAGTCTAAGCTTCGGTAGAAGACAACTTGAGTCTGCAGCAGACTCCTTTCATATATTTGCACCAGGTTAATCTTGATCTTCCTCTGGGCGCTCTACCGGTCGGTTGTGCAATAAATAGTTGCTTTTCTTTCCTTTCTGGACGCATGGTCAAACCATCGTAGCTGTAACTTTACACAGTATATATCTTATCATATTTAGCGCAAAGCGAACAAATCTAGACGTAACTGTGCACTGCATACCCAACTGTTCCTAGCTGCGCAAGAGGGCTGTTAGCAAGACGTCTCAACAATTCAGCCCCTCAGTCCTGGATGCATCATGCCTCATTCTGTTTACGATGTGGTGTTCATTTTCATGAAGTTTCACGAGTCAATACTCTTTATGTGCTCCAGCATAGAAATCAAAATATGGACTCTATGTCGGAGTATGCTAGCTTGAGCATAACTCTTCTAAAACAAGAAGCATGACCTACTTCCGATGCTTAAGGAGACAATGAAATACTCCTGAAATCTGGTTTTGAAGGAGCTATACTCTATGTTAACATATTCTGACGTACGCAGCTACCTTTTGATACGTTCTGTGTGTAATAAGACGCGTACTATATATAGTGTATATATGGTAATACCTTTTCCACAGTTCGTATATTCGCATTCATCATTCATATGAACTAAGAATATACTTTGTCACTGTCATCAGGAAGCATTATTTACCATTATTAGCCAATTGAAACAGATTTTTTACTTTACTGCCTTTCAGCACGGTCAGGTTCTTCAACGCTTGGGCTACCTCGTCTCTTTCTTCGAAGTAGCAAAAGTTTTTGAACTTTATCAGCGGCTAAATAATCGGCACAGCGGATGCGTAATCGAATAAGGAAAAAGAAATAAATTTTTTACCAGGTCTTTGCAGTTCGAAGGGAAATGATTGGAAGGAGCGCCGGAAGCAGGCAAATCGATCAAGATGCCGAGAACGTCACCTTGGCGGTAACCATCTTGATAATGCTTGCCGATGCTTTCGTGGAAGCGGGTTCCTTTCCTGCTTCGCCACGCATAAGAGAAGCGATCGTATCCGACTGGCGCTTGGAGGCAGGCTATATAATTAAAGGGATGTGAATCACATTAAACGATTGCGAAACTTTAGAAAGTAGAAAAAGCATATAAATATTGACATTGGTCAACGGGCAATAG